AAAGGCTTCATCCAGAAAGGAAATCTCATTGTACACCAGCGAATTCATACAGGTGAGAAACCTTATATATGCAGTGAATGTGGAAAAGGCTTCATTCAGAAGACTTGCCTCATAGCACATCAGAGATTTCACACGGGAAAGACACCCTTTGTGTGCAGTGAATGTGGAAAATCCTGTTCTCAAAAGTCAGGTCTCATTAAACATCAAAGAATTCACACAGGAGAGAAACCCTTTGAATGTAGTGAATGTGGGAAAGCCTTTAGCACAAAGCAAAAGCTCATTGTCCATCAAAGGACTCATACAGGAGAGAGACCCTATGGCTGCAACGAGTGTGGGAAAGCATTTGCGTATATGTCGTGCCTGGTTAAGCATAAGAGAATACACACGAGGGAGAAACAAGATGCAGTCAAGGTGGAAAATCCTCCTGCAGAGAGGCACAGCTTATTACACACCAGTGATGTCATGCAGGAGAAAAACTCCGCTAACGGGGTGACTACACAAGTGCCTTCCGTGGCCCCTCAGACATCACTAAACATCAGCGGCCTCCTCGCAAACAGGAACATAGTCCTTGTGGGACAGCCAGTGGTCAGATGTGCAGCCTCAGGAGATGATAGAGGATTTGCACAGGACAGAAACCTTGTGAATGCGGTGAATGTGGTTGTGCCTTCCGTGATCAATTATGTCTTATTTTATGTTACAGAAAACCCATAGGAAGAGAACTCAGATCTATGTGGAAAAAGGGTGGAGCAAAAATTTGTAGTTCATTATGTGGCTGAAAAGCATACACTGAGAGAAAATGTATAAGGCAGAGAAAGCCGATAAACTCATCCTATTTAAATATATGCTGTGATGCACAGGCAAAATCTGATGTTAGCCTAAACACATACACAGCAATTGCTCTATTGTGTCAAATAAATGAGTAAAGGAAGCCCAAGTACTTTGAAGTGGAAGAAATGAAGTACTGTGAATTTTTAAAAGAGATGAAAGAATTGGTATCGGGGGTGTTGCAGTGACTGAAAAACCCCATAAGGGGCAGTTGGTGGGAAAGGGCTAGTACTGGAATGGTGGGATGTGGGACGCATTTGTGTCAATTCAGTTTCCTTAGACCAGTGTGAAGGATTAATTGAAAACCAGGACCATAAACTTTCAGAACTTTATATTTTGCAGAGGGATCTGTGAAACTAGTCATTTTGTTTCATTAAACAAATATTTTAAAATTATATCCTTTGTACCCTGTCCTGTTCCAGGAGCTGAGGTCAAAGAAGAAAAAGTTTGTGGTCTCCCGGAGAGTTTGCGGGGTTAATTTTAAGTAGTATCATTACACTCAGCTAATCTAGTCAGGGGATGCAAATATCTACATTAGGTGAAATGGACATGGAGTAACTGTGTCCAGGGGACATGATAATTTGTTGTTCAAGGAGCAGCAGAAGGACTGCTGTTAATGGTACTTAAGCACCTGAGTACAAAAATGAGGTTTGGTTTGGTTTTGTTTTTTATGCCCAGGTCTCATCTCTCCAAAAGATTACAAATTCCCTGCTAATTTTTGTGGCTACTTAAATTTTAGAATTAAAGAAACTGAACACAAAATTTAAAAATTCAGTTCCCTCACTGCTCAAGAGCTGTACGTGAATAGCTGCTACCAAACTGGACAGCAGAGTGAACAGAACTTTGAGACAATGGGGACTCTCTGTCATCATTTCCAGCATCCCAGAAAGTTGTACTGAAGAGGCTGCTTTGCATGATTTATTATTTCCCAACACATAGAAAATCAAAAACTATATTGATTTGGAGAGAGAATGATTTGGAAAGAGAAGAGTATTTTGTCATTGAAGGGAATGACAGTTGTAAAGAATGGAATTGTCACCCACAACTTTTGTGTGATTAGAGAGACTTAGTCAAATATAAAAGGGGCAGAGCAGAAAAGGAAAAGGACCCTTAGAATAAGTAGAACACAAAGAAGGAGGAAAATCTTAGTCTCTGAGAATGGATGAGACTGTAACAGATGGGGGGAGGTGGGTTTCTTTTGGGATGTCTTAGAGATGACCCTTTTATTTGTCCGTAAGACCCATCCCTTGCTAAAGTTACCATTTCAAAGATCCTGGCTTCTCTGTGACCTGCTGAACTGAGATGTGATTTTTTTTTTTTTTTTTTTTTTGAGATCATGATTTATCTTCATCGTTCTCACTTTTCTGGGAGTAGATCTCTTGGCCTTCTTTATCCGGTTTTTTAACCTTCATCCCATATGGATACACTGTCCAAGTTACAGTAAGTGCTACGCACAGGAAAAGAAATAAAAATTTGCCTTGTTGTGGCTAGCTCAGAATTCAACAGAAATCCTGGGTTACTAGGTAACTTTTGTTTTGTTTTTGTTTTTTTTTTGAGATGGAGCCTTGCTCTGTCGCCCAGGATGGAATGCAGTGGCACGATCTCAGCTCACTACAACCGTCGCTTCCCAGTGGGGTGTGTTGTCCCTGAAAACCCTGAGGAACAAAGGGCTGAATTGGGAATGCCCCAGTTTGTTGTGGGGCCTGAAGTTGGCCCCTCTTCTCCTTTCCCAACAACAGTTGCCCATTTTTATCAAATTTATTACAACGTTGATTAGCCAGTGTTTTCCTTTTTTATATCTTGGGCATAGGCCAGGTGGCTCTTTCTTTTTTGTAGTAGCTTGAGTTGTTATATTTTGTTCATTTGAGACTGGGCAATTCTGTTTTAGATGACCAATTGGACCACAATTATAACATTTTCCCCCAAATGTTCTAACTTGTCCTCCTAAAACAACTCCCATTATTGCTTGAGCTATAAGTTTAGCTTTATGCATAGCTCCTCCAATTCCATCACAGGCTTTTATGCACTCTGAGATTACATCTGATCCTGCTGGGACCTTTTCTTTTAATGGCTTAATGGCTGAGTGACACTCAGGATTGGCATTTTCTTATGCCATCAACTCCACTATGACCTTACAGGCATTCTCATCCATAATTGACTTTTGAGCAGCATCTTGGAGCCTTGCCACAAAATCAGGGTAGGGCTCTTTAGAGCCTTGTCTTATTATATTGAATGAGGGGCAGGTAATTCCTGGGTCTTGGATTTTCTCCCAGGCCGTAAGGCAGATAGCTCTAACTTGCTCAATGACCTCATCTTGCATTATTGCTTGTTGATTAATAGTGCTCCAATTTTGACCTGTTCCTAATAGTTGATCTGCATCTATGTTAACTGGAGGATTGGCAGCCCTGTTTCTTCAGACCTGTTCTTGTGCCCCATCAATACACCAAGTCTTAAATTGTAAAAATTGAGAGGGTGAGAGTGATGATTTCGCCAGAATCTCCCAATCATAAGGAATGTGTCTATGTCCATGAGCAATGGAATCTAATAATGTCCTCATATAAGGGGAGTTGAGTCCATATGCTTTACTCCCTCTTTCATATCTTTGAGCATTTTCATAGAAAATGACTCATATGTGGCCTCAGCTAGGGGAGGCTCTCCCTCTTGGGCCCCTTCTCCAGGTTGTACCTAATATTACTCTAATATTACTGGGAACCTCAATATCTCCTTGTTTTCTCGCCTTGTCAATAATCTTATATAATGCACTACCCTGTCCACTAGGTGGTGATACAGGATTAAGTCTCATAGTGGGCAGCTGAGGCTGTAGGGCCCTGCCCTGTGGTGCTGGAAACATTCCTGGCTGTCCATACTGATTTTCTGGGGGCAGCCGATACTGAAGTTCAGCTGGCGGCCAGTATTGATAGGCTACTGGCAGTTGGGTCTTATTTTCTACCGACTGTTATTGTGGATACTGTATTTGGATTGGCATTGCCGTGACAGAGACTCTGGCTTTCTCTATTTGATATTCTCTTGGGGTTTGGACTTGTCTAACCTGCATTTGAGGTTGTAATGTTACAGGCATCTGAACTGCTGGAAGAGGAGTTGGTCTTCGTGGTTTAGACTCTGATGGACCCACTAATTCTGGACCTTTTTCTTCTAATTTTAATGTTTCAGGGTATATTACCTCCTGTAATTGATTGTAGTCAACATTTTGCGTTGACCGAGCCATTACAGACTCTGCTACATATTTACAACATAAACTTTCTGTTCCTTTCCAGGATTCTGTCCCTGCCTCTTCCTCACAATCTATTACACAGCTTTCAGGGGCATCAGAAACTGAAATGCTGTCTTCTCCTGTTTGAAACTATTCTAAAGGTACTTTAATAATGGCCCAATCATTCCACACTGTAAGTGCGACGATTTTACCCTCCCGACTTGCTTGTTTTAATTCTTTGCCAATTTTGTCCCAATCTTTTAGATCTAAAGTTCCCTGTTCTGAAAACCATGGGCAGAATTGTTCTGTCATTTGAGATAGTGTGATTATATTTTCTGTAGAGACTCTACCTCCCCCTCTTCTTAAAAGAATTTTAATTAAGCTGAGATAAGAGGCATATTTACTATCAGTTTGTTCTATTTTTACCCTGGGTTCTTCCGAGCGCACAAGCTTACCGCAAGGCTGACCATGGATGTACTTGGGAATCTCTTGTCGACTTGTCCTCAATGACCACGCTCTAGCGTATTTCACCCACGTTGGGCACTAGATGAAGGGGGCCAGCCCTTCCACACCTGTGGGTGTTTCTCATCAGGTGGGACGAGAGACTGAGAAAAGAAATAAGACACAGAGACAAAGTATAGAGAAAGAACAGTGGGTCCAGGGGACCGGCGCTCAGCATACGCGACCTGCGCCAGCACTGGTCTCTGAGTTCCCTCAGTATTAACTGATTACTCTCTACCATCTCAGAGAGGGGGTAGACTTTTACCAACCATACTGCCTTCAAACACATTTTTATCAAAGCACATCCTGCACAGCCCTAAATCCATTAAACCTTAAGTCAACAGAGCACATGTCTCTGCAAGCACAAGGCTGGGGTTAGGGTTACAGATGAACAGCATCTCAAGGCAGAAAATTTTCTGTAGTACAGAACAAAATGGAGTTTCTTATGTCTACTTCTTTCTACATAGACACAGTAACAGTCTGATCTCTCTTTCTTTTCCCCACAAGTGAGAGCAAATGGAAAAAAAAAAGTGTAATTCAACATTTTCAGAATATAGTGATTTTGCTAGTAATATGTAAGAAAAGAAACAGCCTCATTCACTACCCATGCCATTCAACAAACCAATACTAATGGATTGCTGATTGAAATTTACAACCAGATAATGCAATTTTGAGAATTACAAAATGAAATATTTGCTATGGTCTTAGAATCTGAGGATGTTTTATAAACAGTATGAAACACATTGATGATATGGGTGAAATGACAAATTAGAACATTAAATAAGAGTTGGCCGCCATCTCACACACACACACACACACACACACGCATACACACAGCGGGGAGCATAGGTAGGAAGAGTTGTATGTAGCATAAAGAACACATATCACATAAGATAATGAAGTATAGGGAAAACATTACATCAGAAACAAAAAATGGAAATTGTCCAGTGAGTAGTAACTATGAGGAAAGTTTTGATGTCCTCAGTAATCATGAAACTTCAAATAACACCACCACCTGGTGCCATCATACACCAACTAGAAGTCTAAAATTAAAATGGCAGGAAATACCAAGTTTTGGCAAACATGTGCCAGGAATTCCATGTGCTGCTGATGGGCGTTAAAATTGGCACAGGCATTTTGCAGAACTGTCTGGCAGTACCTACTTAAGTGGAACAGATATCAACCTCTGTCTCGACAATTCCCCTCTTATAAGTATGCCCCAAATGAATTTCTAAATATATCATCAAAAGACAAATTCCAGAATTTGTATATCAGCACTAGTCATAACAGTCCCAAACCAGAAGACCAACCACTTGCTCCCTCAGAATAGAATGATTCAAATATTTGATATTAACAGAAGGAATGTTATGTATCAATGCTAATGGAAATCAATAGTACATTTGAAAAATCATAAAAATTTAAGAGCTAAATATAGACAGGTTCTTGCTGTATGATTTCATTTATATAAAAAACAAAACATACAAAAGCGATGTGACCTCTTAAATGTTGGAATAGATATAAACCTATGTCTCAACAATTCTGCTACTCAAATATACCCAACAGAACTATGCTCTTGGGGGTAGGAATTTAAGAATATGAAATCTTCTGCAATGTAAAAATTCAAATAACAGAAAAACGTGTCATGAGCCTGAGACTGATGTTCGTATGTTATTAAACCAGAAG